CGCTTCGACTGGAGATCTTATCGATTCGCACCTGCTTGCTTTTTGCTACTCAGATATCCAGCACGTGTGGAAAGAAGTACAACGGCTATTACGTTCTAGTTAAATGTATAGTCAGCATCCGTAATTGGTCCTTTGGAAGGAACTTGGTCACTGATGGAGCTTGTCTTCAATACTTAGGAATTTGGTGGAGGGAGCATTGATAGCCCATTCCGACTTCGGATCCGTCCGCCGACACTCATCAAACTAATGAGTAGTGGAGATTTTGATATGATTCATGAGTAATTCTACACAGTCCACGCTCAGCCAGCAGGCGTTAGCACCTCTAACTGGAGTAAGACTGAATGCCACGCATTAGACAGCCCTACTCTGCCTATTCTATTCATGCAGCTGTTAGTCTTGGTTAATTCTATAGCTTCCGCAATTCATCTTCGTTTGGCTGATCGCAACACCTTCCTGATAACCTGGACATTCTCCCCCAGCCCCTTCCAAAGCAGCGTAGATTGAGCCAACGGTTTATTTCAGCAGTTGTATAAGCGTCAGAAATAAACGCGATGTCATACAGCTAGGTAACACTTTCCGAAACCTGGTTACTGCTTGTTATCCATCCTCGTAATTTACAATTAAATTACAGCTCAAATCTCCTAATAGACATGTGCTAGTTATCGGTCCGAAAGTGCTGAGTGGTTGTGAGGTGGGTGCCCAGCGCTCAGTGCACAGATTTCCGCCTGTCTAGATGCACCCTTCATGTTTGATCATCCCAACTGTTCTCCTCGTGTCAGTTGCTTAGAAGCGGATTCCCGTGAGCACCTGACTGTGTGCAGCCGCTTTTACAATATCAACCATGCAGCATTCTTTAAGCTACCTAAACGCTTTCCGTCATGATGTCAACACACCATTACGCAGTTACTAGTCTGGACATCGTCCAAACTACAGGGAAGACGACTGCACAAGTTGTTCCTCTGACCTACGAGGTGAGTTCAAAAAGCTGAGCTTTTGCCATGATATCTTTATTGCTTATTTCACAGCATTTTGAGCACTTCCATGTCAAACTAGTTCCCCTACTGGCAATACGCCGTTTCCAACGGTGCTTCCATTTTTCAAAAGCCTCCTGAAACACATACTCTGAGGTGGCGCGTAAGTCACTTATCGCAGTTTCTTGAATCTATGGTTTTTCAAACGACGTCCATTCAAGCTGGTTTTAAGTTTGGGGATGGGAGCTAGGTCCAAAGAATAAAGTGAATTGGGCACAGCGGCAGTGGTATGTTTTGCTATATACCTACGGACAAGGAGCAATGCATGACCCGGCGCACTGTCATGATGCAAAATCCAAGTCTGGTCTTCCCATTTTATGCCTCTTCCTGCGCACAACATCCCTCGCGCTAGAATGTGATGGCATGTTCCTACGCTGATGTCCACTATGTCAGCAACTTCTTGAACATGTAAACGGTGATTTCCATGGATCAAAGCAAGAACTCTGTCGACGAGGACACCGTCCGTTGAAGTGGAATTCATTCAGGCCTGTGATTGTCACCGACCGACATGGTGCCGTGTTCAAAATACTTAACCCACTCAAATCACTGCGTGCGACTAATACAGTCCTCCCCGTATGCATGGCTAAGCAATTGAAGTGTGTCTGTAAACTTTTGGCCGTTTTGTAGAAAACTTTTACGTACACACGCGTTGTTTTAAGCTCTACCATTGTCACCTTGGCACTAATCCGACAAACAGCTTGTACACGTGCTCACTTCAGGGACTGCAGATCGCCACGGAACAGTTAAAACGAAATGTGGCAAACGGCAGTGTGTTGTCTAACCAAGCCTCCACATACACTAAGTAACCGCAGTGCGCTTCCTCTGCCGGTTGCCTGCTAGTGAAAGGTGCGCTTTCTTTTTGTAGACCCCGGTAGTTAAAGGCTCAGTTTTTTTATGAACTCCGACTGCATATACAAAATTGAATGTTAGTTGTAAGTGTATTTCAGTCAAGGGCTATTTCTTAGCAGCACGGCCTTCAATCACAGCAAGTACCAAACGGCCTCATGGAGTCCTACGATGACACAGAGTGTTGCATTTATCAGAAACGCGATAATTACAATGCCATCGAATAGCAGTGACATCAACACGATAGTCATTTTCGCTTCCTCCACTGTTTGAGGGTGCCTTCTTCCTGTTGGATTGTCGTCCTCACCCCATTCCTCGGAATGATGATTGATGGGGGTGATTAAACTTTATTCGGCGATCCTTAATTTTCGAATGGACGAAGATCTTACTTCTTGCCTGTCGGATGAAACATACTGTTACCACTGTTCGCTTCACTGAAAATAGTGCCCTTGAGGTCTGAACAATCGGGTTCACCTCTAATCATCTTCTCGGACATTCTACCGAAATATCCAATTTTCTGGCGTTTCATAATGTGAACGTTATACCCACCTCGCCAGTGAACTTGCCGTTAACATTACGCTTGTCAAATGAGAGATGCGGATATCCCGGTTTTGCTTTATCGCATTTGCCTTCCAAAATCATACCTCTCTCGAGTCTGAACAATTGGGTTCATCCCTTAGTATCTTGGGATATACAATTACCTGGAGTTACCATATCTTACAAACTGTACCCACCTCACCAGTGGCGGAATACGGAATCCATCATGTTGCATGGAATGCTCACCACAAGCACTCTGCATTTGTATTGTTGCCATGACGCTTTGGTTTGTCTATCTCGCCAGTGGACAACTTCCAAGTCAAATGATGTCATGTTATCCGTCGATCGGTACAAATTCGACTACATCTGTCCACCCCCTGACGAGGCTAATCAAACCTTTATAATTCATCGGATGAAATGTTTCTAAATGAAATTTCCATGGAAATTGCCTCGCCGTATCATGAGCAGATGTTCATCGCTATACTCATACCGAAGTTCACCGAATTCTTGACGGGAACCCCAGCCAACATCGTCTATATAACTTATGCAGCGCGCTACAATTCGGTCGGTGGATAAGAATTCGCAAGCGCAAGACGACTGCGATTAGCAATAAGGTACCGTATAGACTATAGCTTTAGCTACCTTATCGATAACTTCATCCAACTAAAACAAGCATACTTATCATTGCCCTCCTTGTCATGCAGTGTTTCTCTAGACTCGCCTATGCACACAATTCCTGACCACCCTGCACAAACTTTCAACACTCTTGGAGTTTTTAATAACTATCACCTAGACGCCATTGTAAATTGTGCTTACATACGCTTACGGCACGGTCCATATGGAGATAACTGCACTTTACGGTTCCATTTTCATAAAACCCTGACTTTCCCTGTGTGGTCCTGTGGCATACCCCATGTAATTTACGCCCCTGTTCCGACCCTTTACTACGATCTGTACCTGAAAACGCACACGCATGGTTCTATATACTATTTTCTCAAATCGTTTCAACCATTGTTGATATTGACTGTATATATGTGCACTTCCTGATCATGTCATATCATGGTGTGCCTCGTTCTACAGAGAATAAAAATTTATTTATTTATTTATAACTGAGCAGTGAGGAAGTAACCCAGACCACATCATCATCATCACATGTTTTAAGTGGTGAGGTTCAACTCTTCATTGCCGCACTTTCTGGAGCACATGAGTCGATCCTGATCATACACTGGTTTGTTGTCAATTTTCCATGAAATAGGTAGGGAAAATTTTTAAATGCTTTCATCGACTGGCAACTGACCGCTTGTCTCAGCCCTCAGCCAATCATAATTACCAGTTTACCCTGTATACTGGGTTTTAAGTTAATTATTAGGTGAGGGGGCTAACCAGTTCTCTGCACCGCAGTAACGTGAATGTCAGTGGATAGTGAGCAGCGACATACCATAACTAATAACTTAGTCACGACGGTCGTTACCGTCCCCCGTAGCTCTGTGGTCTCAAGCACAGGCTGGCAACAGTTGAGTTGCGGAGTCCATCCCCACATGGTTCAGATGGACTGCGGACTGCTAACGATTACAAAAAGGATGAAATTGCTGTACGGTGCATTGCTGTGCGTGTGATGGCTGTTTGACTGAATCTATACGCGATGAATTTATACATATACCATTCAACTTCCCCTCTTACTCTCTAGTTCTCCTGAGACATGGAGGTCCAGTCACATCCCATCATGGTCACGCTGCATAATGACACTTGAGACAGTCTCAGCCATCGTATCCCTTGGAAACCCACTGGTAACCGGCAGGAAAAGCCACACACGTGCCGTGAGTATTGTGACCGGAAGGTATACTAGACGCGAACTAAAACGCAGTATGCGTCTTAACGGTGAAGTCAGATGTATCAAAGGTGTTCAAGAAGTGGACGAGGACACAGTGTCGGACAGCTACCACTGCTACTTGCAGCTGATTCACATCAGTATTCCCAAGAGTCTGTGCGTAAGTGAGACAACCAAGGATGGCACCGGCGTACAAACTCCCAATAACGAATACCGGCTCGCTCACTGAGTGCAGCATTTTCCGGTACAGTGCAGCTACTCCCTTTTTCCTAAACCTCTTCACCCTCCTGCGGCGCAGATTAGGTCGTGGCCCGTTCGTTTAGAAGTTAGGTTGAGGTTGGAGGTGGTTGTAAGCACAGTAGGCCATCGGGGAAGAAGCAAGATGTACCGCATATTTGGACAACAGACAAATCACGATGATCTTTTCCTTTGTTTATGGGCGCTTCACATGGAGTTCAAAAAACAGCTTCGGAGTAACAATAAAATGCACAAATGGTGAGAGCAGGGTGGTGGAGAAAAGTGATAAGGAAATGATACAACATTGGTAGCGCCCACAAAAAGGTAAAACTGCAGCAAAAAAATGAGAAAAACTAAACTGATTCGGCGAAAATGTCATCTTCATCAATGGTTCGATAGTTTGTAAAACAGAACTCGAGGATTTAACCCTTACAATGATAGGTACCATGACGATGTTTCAGACATGCATACATATGTATATTACAAAGGCGTTAATAAAAACTCAAATTTGGTCTTGCTTCCTAGCGTGTTTTAAACTCAAGCTGAGGTGGCAGACGACGTTGGATCTCTCGAAGAGAGGCAGCGATGCGGTATCCAAAGGCGTCGGAGATGTTAGCTAACATGCCTCGATCGTAAGGTCGATGCGGCCTGGTTACAAGAACCCTTGAACTCCAAGACATCGTCAGTTGATCGTGCTGTGTTGATGGGGCAAGCGGCATGCTCGAACGGCTCGATTGTGATTTCCGGTTAGCAGCAGCGTATTCGTAGCCTGTTTGATTTGTCAATACAAGCCAGCAGTGAAACATGGCATAAACGGATAAAAACAGGGTCACCAGCGCCAACACAACTCCCATTGTGACAATTAACGGTAGGTTCATGAAGACGTACTTGAGAAAAAGAGCAAAAGATAGGAGAATGCGAATTAATGAAACTGGTAGGCAAGGAATGTACATTGCGGTAACAAGATACCACATGTTGATTTTCCAGATGGTATATAAGATACCGCATTGGTCACAGAGCCGAAAACTGCAGTAAGCAGGCATTGTATTGCTGAAGGTGTCACGTTTAAGTAAATGGAGAAAATGTACCGGTGTGTGAGATATTAAAACTGGTGAAACGGTCAAAATTCACTTCAGTCAAATAACCATAATCCCGGCATCGAAATGTGTTGAATCCAACTGCCGAGGTACACGTCGTCAGGATGAGAATAACTACCAGTGGTGGTAAGAAAATAAGGTAGAAAGCACACAGAACACAAATAAATGGAAGTTCTGAAAGAAGTGGGTACAAGTAATCACAATGGTATATTGACAGCTACAAGCAAGAAACCGAATGTAGGAATGCCATTGACTGCATGGGACTGGGTCATGTCCCATAGGGTCTTTAACCAGTGATGAGGACAATTCCGAGGCCCACATGCATGTGGACGCCACTAACAACAACCAAGTGTAAACATTATAGTGTTGCTCACCCCAACACTGGCACCCCAAGACCGGGGTTTCGTCCTGGTTGGGACTCATAAGTTGGAGATAGCCTGAGTTGGGCTGGAACTCAGAGCCTAGTGGCTTATGGTTGACGCCATAAGCACTATGCCAATGAGGTCCGCGAGTAATGCTTTGTCCAGCGGAAACGAATGCAAAGTTGGACTTGGAGGCTCCGCTGGTGGTTCGGTTGATACAAGCAACCTCTATTGAGACCTCGGTTCACTTGAGGTGAACCTCGGTCATTCCGATCACAAAGACCGTAAGTAAAGTGGAAACATTATAGTGTTGCTCACCCCAACACTGGCACCCGAAGTTCCAGCACAACTCAGGCTATCTCCAACTGATGAGTCCCAACCAGGACGAAACCGCGGTCTTGGGGTGCCCGTGTTCGGATGAGCAACACTATTATGTTTCCATTTTACTTACGGTCTTTGTGATCGGAATGACCGAGGTCCACCTCAAGTGAACCGAGGCCTCAATAGAGGTTGCTTGTATCAACCGAACCACCAGCGGAGCCTCCAAGTCCAACTTTAACAACCAAGTGTACTTGCCACATCCCATTGAAATAAAGGTTAATTGGGAAAAGAAACATAGCACGAACCGTCAATCGTCGCAACAAGCAGTGTAAGCAGTGGTACATGCATCATTTGGCAATTACAGTGCAATGGCTTTGATTTCCAGTACAGCTGTCTTTTCAAGAAGAATGCATTCAAGTGGGAATCAAATCATGGAGAGCACAATTGGAAGTATGCGATACCAAGCAAGTTGAGGTCACAGAAATGTATAAATGAAGATATAAAGAAGCGACAGAACAGCGGCTGGTTAACACCGGGAGAAAATGTGGGCACTATTGGTGTTATCATAAAACGTTGTAACCAGCATCATCAATAATTCAATAAATCGCGTTGGAACCACAGTGAGAAGGGGTTTCTCCTTGTTCTCTTCGTAATTTTCATAAGTCCCATGTTGGAAGCACAAATGAAACATTTCGCTTCGACTATGACGTATTGAGGATAAGCGGGCTATTGTTGAAATCTCGTCCAGACAATTGAGGAAGAAAACTACTGAGCCCCACCATCAATGCGAAGATACAAGCGTAGTACTTACACTAAAGTTGCCGGATCACTTATGCATCGTCGAAATCCAGTCGAGTTGCGACGCAGTAGGCCGGGAATTGTAGCTAAATGTGTGTGCGTGTGCACGGAAAAGTCGAACAAAAGCCCGAGTGGTGCAGCTGATTGCATACTTTATCGACGCAGATCAACAGCTGTATGTATCAGCCAATCGAGTTTGAAGAGGAAGGTATTTCTCTCGTTCTATACAATAGGCCCTAGCACTAATTCACTTCCAGGAAGCTAACAGATTGCATAGGTGATTACATGAAAGTTCGAAAGGAGAAACTGCCTAATGAAAAACCGGAGGTTACTACAAACCATTATCTGTTCAATCAAGACCTATGTGCAAAGCGTCAAAACGGAAGTATCTTCATTCCAAAATTCTGTGTCTACGTCGAAGAGGTCATTGACTGTGGGAGAGGATAGACACTGCGGTGACGCGTTATCTTTGTTCCACCACGCGACATGAGTGTTAGCCAGTCTCATTAAGGCATTACAAAAGTGGTATTAACACCGAAAGATTCAAAAATGGGCAACATTCCGTCAGTGTGGTTAGTTAATCTTGTCTCCATTCACGGACGGCGGGGACTTTAAATTGGCCGTTGCCGCTCCTCCAAAACATCGATTTTTGCGTTATCTACTGCAAGCGTATCAATTTTATTTGAATCTTTTGACGAATTCTTTGGTTGGACAATTTCAAGGTCCCTGGGGTCGCTCAACTCCACCGATTCTTTAAAAGAGTATCCGAGACACCGCGCAAAACTCGCGGTTTGCTGCCTGTATCCGATTAAAATAAGCTAGCAACAGATATTTTAACATATCTTGGCCTCGTCAACCGGAAGAAGAATCTTATAATTCATTCAGTTAATGCACGGTCGTTGCTCAAAGATTCGGGAATTTTTACTTAAGTTACATCTGTGCACTCTACTCATACGGTTTATAAATTGTAAAATTCTCATCTTTACTGATGATGTTTATAGCACATATGTGGTAGATAGTGGAAAATGTGGAAAATGCATCCATCTGGGTGCATAAAGCTTTTCTTCACTTGATTTGACTTGATCGCATCCAAACGTGTGGACCGCAGCTCAGAAAATGTCCACAGTCCCTATAAGAACGGATGGCCACAGCAACAATGCACAAACTTAAAGTAAGCAACGTAGATAAATTAATGATAAATCTACGAACACAATGGACAAGTGTACTAAATGAGCAGAAAGAAATTCTCATGTGATGTTAAGAGGATTCTTATTACATAGGACAGGGAAGCCGTATCTAACGTATACTTGTTACACAGGAATGATTTCAGGGGTAATATATCGATATTTGAATCGAGTCAGTCCCATTGGAGTTCCCTATTGTGTTCTGTTTGCGAGATTCGTCATCCCAGCACGGTATCAAGCAATAAAATTGTATAAATGCATGTACACACAGCGATGCATGTTAGAAGAATCATTTGTATCAGGGTTTTACTCACTGCACGCATCCGCTAATGGTACCACATTTCATCAAAGAAATCAGCTACCACCTGGAAACTACTGACGTGAACAACGAAAGTGCACGATGAGAGGTTTCTGAGTTTTCCGGTGTGCACAAGAAGAAAAAGACAAATTGAACGACGGACCACATCATCACTCATGTGGCTTCCCAACATTTTGCAAAACTCTGTTCAGCTGCGTGAAATGTCAGCGCTGTTCCTTGACTGATAGGAAATGGCGCCAGTATTGGTTAAATGTCAAGTACATGAAGTAGATGACCCTAATTAAGTCTATCCGATGCACCCCATAGATGTGTATGGCTTAGCAAGAAACGTGCTGAGATAACAGACAACGGACCGTGAATAGTGATCAACTGTGGGAATAAGTGCTACTGCAGTCACAGTTTAAAACACGAACGGTGTAACAATTTAGTCACGAAATACTGTCAGAGGATTGGTGGTGAAGGTCATTTGAGGAACATCAAATGATCCAACAACAGAAGGGAAATATACCGCGGTTGTATACGAGGTGTCGCGCTGACCTTCCAAACAAAATTGCACCGGTAAAATTCCTTTTGTTGGCAAGTCAGGAAATTTGGTAAAGCTTTCAAAGTAAGAAAACTACTTAAAATTGTACACGGAATTGTTTAGCAACACGTCATGGGTACTTAAGGTCTTCATTAAAAGAGGGAGGCAGTAGACGATGTTTGTTGTTCTGCAACAGTGAGTATCATCACACCCCATGTTATTCTGATAAGGTAATAGGCTGATTACGAAAGAGAAATTGTAGTCTCGGTATTATGATCGCAGATTTACTGTTCCAATAAGATTTGGCTGATTTCATCAGGGAATTTATTAAACGACTGAAGTGGAAACGAAGGTAGTGACACTTGGTGCGTTGATATTGTGGTCACCGGTGCAATAAATAACAAATCAGTAGTATATGCAGGAAAATGCGAGACACGCCTGCATAGTTATGATCAGGGAGAGGTAAATGTACAGAAATGTTACAATATTATCAGCAACTTTAAGTCTATGTTGTACAAAAATACATGTTGCAAGCGCTGCAACAACAAGTGGTGAAGATTTGTCGTGGAAACTCAGAGAGCATCAGCTCAGTAGGAAAACGACTAGAGCATCTCAAAAGATACTGTTATAAGTGGTAAAACACGGCGGACCAGCGTTGGTAAATGCGTTGCACTATTTGGTGAAACGCGTGCGGCTTGAAGAGGAAACATTGGCTGAGTTGAAGGATGCCCTTGTACTACCACCGTACAAGGTCAAAAGGAAACCAGCAATGTGCCACGAATAATCGTTGCATCAAGTTACTGAGCTTCGCAAATTCTGCTCAAGTTGGTTGAATCAAACGTTGTGCAAGAACAATTGGGATTTCATTCAGACCGCATTGCCATACCCAAGACCTTCGCGACAAGTCAATTGCACGAGAAGTGTAGAGAGCGACACCCGTCATTGTAGTCGCTGTTTATAGACTTCACCAAGGCGTTTTACATGGTGAAACGCGAGGCAGTGTAGCTGGTGTTGGGTAAGTCGGGTTGCCCGAGTAAATTTCTAAGTCTATTAGAATGTCTGCACAGTGGTTTGCGGGTGAGGGTACACCTATGTGGACAAACCTCGGATGATTTTGTTGTTGTATCTGATGTGAAGCAAGACTGTAGCTTAGCTCCTGTCCTGTTTACTATTTACCTAAATGCTATGATGTCCGCGTGGAACACCATATTGATGATGGGTTGTTGAATATCAGGGAAAGAACCATAGTGTGTGAGACAACCATCCATATATTGCTGTTTGCCGACGACTGCGCGTTGGTACGCACAGCGCAGATGAGTTGCAACGCATGACGACGACTCTCATCTCGAGAGTGGCCAAGTTCGGGCTCGCTATCAAAGCAACCACGACTGATTGTCTTTAAAAGACTTCATCAGGAATGGAATCTGTGGGTCTGCGGCAACTCCAGATTGCGAATGACGTTTTGAAAAGCTCCTCGAGGTTTTGCTATGGAGAGTGTACCTTCTACCGACTTAAAGATGACGAGCGAGCTGTGCATCCGCGTATCGACGGCCGGTGTTGAATTAGTAAAGCTGAATAATCGGATGTGAAGGAATCAATAGCTGACCGTTTGGACAAAACTGATGGCGAATCGGTCGATGGCGCTGTCAGTTTTCTTCTAAGGCAGCAAAAGGTGGACGTTGTACCGGAAGGACTTGCGTTATTTGGAGCGCTTTTATCAAAAGTGCCTGCGTCGGATTCCAAGCATCGGTTGAAAGGACAGGGTTGAGAACAAGGAAGTCTTCCACCGAAGTAGTACGTAGGTAGTGGACTACATATATCTGCTGTGTCACCTGAGGTGGCTCGGACATGTCTGCCGTATGGATTCGACGGGAATATCGAAACAGTTGTTCTATGACCAACTGCGTGCAGGGAAGTGGAACGTCAGAAAGCCGAAGCTACATTACCAGGAAATGAACAAGGAGTGTTTTTCAAGAACTAATGTTGAGTTTAGGCACTGTGAAACAGTAGTGTGCTCATATCAAGAATGCGCTTGTGCAGATGCACAATAAAATGGTGGTTCATAAGGAGGTGAAACGCTGGGTACGGAAGCGACAGGCACCGACGGAAACTAGTCCATCGACGTCAATCGCATGGTGCTGTGGCACATGCGGTCGCGAGTGACGCAACCAAGCAGGTCTGGCAAGCCACCAGCGTGGACATATGGGGCCAACATATAAAAGAAAACGAATAAGCTGAGTAGGTACACATAAGCGCATCGTTTGGTAAGTAAGCTGTTTTTGATTCCATTTACCAACCCAGACGAATAATGCAGTCTATGTGACACATGTGCTACATCATCGCTGCGATTGATCTCTACGTGTGTCTGGGTGTTGGTTTTCTTGTATTTCAGATGTTTGCTGTTAATCCATATCTCCGGTGTGGTTGCGTTTGAGATGAATGCTGACAAGGTGCATACTTGTCGTAACCCTACCACCTCGATTACAGTAACTCCAAAAGACAGTTGGTTGGTTCTAGGAGAGAGGATGCACGATCCTCATGACGTTTCTAGGCTCCATAAATGGTCCCATTCTGTGTGGAAAGGGGTACGGCCCAGTCACCGCCTGGCTTGCTTGATTCCCAAACTAAGCAAGGATGCTGCTGCTGTGCATGTCGAAGAAGTGTGGACCGCTTCGGTTGATGAAACATGGATCCCATCCCAAACGTCCTGTCCTTTCGGGTTCACACTGGATAGGGGTGTGTGGATAGAGCTGTGGGTGGTGCAGCGCAAGCCACCCATGGCCCCTCTCTAGATGAAGGCGTCCTGACTGTCGTATGGAGACCAGAGTGACAGGCAAATCCGGGATTGGATGCCGCTAACCATATATGTATGTGTGCATATGATTAGGCAAAAGGCAGTGGCATTATTTAGTGCCGAGTCACATCCGACACATCACAGTTTCGTTGAGCAAACATGTGTTCTTCATCATAGGGAGAAGATTCGCCGAGCGGAAACCCATCTTGTTTTGGATTACAGCAAAGGAACTATTAACTGGGATGAGACTTACCCTAAGCACTCAGTTGGCACCACGGGGGGTTATTCGGCGGACGCAACATAATGATACCGCTAGATGACCGGTTAATCGGTCCTTTCAACTTTATTTAAGGGCCCAGATAAGTTCCGCTTAATTAGTTCACTATGATCCCAGTCCAGAGGTGAAATGAATTCAGTCGTCAGGATAAATAGAGACAAATAGCAAGCAGTAGAGAAGTTAAAATGACAGTTAAAATGTCAAAAGTGCAAGAATACCAAAACCCAACAGTCACATTTGGGCTATTGCGGGGGTCAACTCTCTGCTTGTTTCAAGTAACAGCTCTCCACTATTACCACTCTAACGGACCATATCAGTCCGCCTAATGAAATACTTTGAATTCTGTTCCAGCTTGCATTCTTGGTACTCGAGTTCAAAGTTTGTACACATTGGGTGATCTTCGTCGATAACTCAATCTCCATTGAAAGAGCCAAATGCCGCATGGTCAACTTCCGTCGACACCTTCTCTCACGTGCTGAGTACACACGGAGTCAATTCACATTGTTAAAATGACAGTGTTGGCAGGCACTCTTCGTAAGAAAAACTATCAGTGCTAATTTAAAGCACTTAGCTCCCTTCAACAATTTGAAAAGCACGGAAAGAAGTCGAACGCCGGTTGATGCATGCATTTCGTATTGTCTCCTCATTAACGTTAACAATAAACGATATGCATAGATATGGCTAACAGTGGGTGCAACCAGACAAGCTTAAGCTTCAAAACGAATGACGGAAGCTTTAGGCAGCTTTAGGCTGACAAATAATTGTTTCTGAACACACAAGACTGGCTTAATCCGGCTTACGGCGACAGCCTCAGCAAACCGAAGGAAGCGGGGATTAGCGTGACGTAACACAACTTTAAACGCTGAGCCCAGCTCTATCGGATGACCCGAGTCTAATAGGTGTCTTCTAATCAAGGAAGCCGGCGGTCTGCACGAACATGGAATCTGACGAGGGTAGGCAATCTGAGCAACTTCACGTTGAACCCATCTTGGCACATGTTCCTTTATTCGGGAAGTCAGCGTTCTATTGGTTCTGCCTATGTAACGTTTTCCGCAGTCACATAAAAATTGGTATACACAGTGTGAGTTGGCCCCAATAGGCTGGGCTTCCTTCGTTGGAGGTATGGGCAAATTTCGGGTTCGGTTGATAACGACAACTTGTGCAGCATAGTAACTTCCTTGTGTAGCCGAAATTATACGCTTAGTTGTCTTCAGCGTGGCTGTCACCTTTGAAAGTAACTCGATATACACTTTCTTCTTGACTGCCGTGTGCACCAAATCCTTTGGCCCTCGCGGTTGGCTGTGTTTCTCGATAAATCTTCGAGGGTAGCCATTCGCCATTAGTGTTGCTGTACTTAACACTAGCTCATCGTCCAGAGAGTCGGCCGAAAAATTCGTCCGACACGACTAACTAGAGTCTTCACAAGTGTTCGTTTGTACCGCACTGCAAATCTACTGTCAAGCCCACTCCGTTATTCGAGTCATCTAGTCGTTGCGCCAGAGAAAAATGGATGATCAGCTGATTCACATGATCATTAACGTCCAAGTGAGTCATTTGAAATGAGACACGTAGGTTGCATATATTATTCGAATGCTGAGCACTGTGTTTGTTCTAGTTCATGATGTGTTCTGTGCCCAGAATTTTCGCAATGGGAAGTCTGATGATGCTTTTCCAGTATATAAATAGGTCCAGGAAGTGGCACTCTAGAGTAAATAATTAGACGAAGAGCTTTTTGTTAAGTCCAGTGTGCAAAATAGACAAGGGAATTGTATAATGATTCACAATGGATATTAATATGGGTACTTAGGGATGTGAATATTAACGTGATGATTGAAATGACATCTCCGAATCTGTAGCGCGAAGAGAAGAGACAGTCAACGAACTCATATAGTGAAACGGACAAACGTTTCCATTGATAGTCAAAACCCCTATAAGTGGTATGTTGAATAAGCGATTTTGATCAGTCTTAAGCCGAAGGATTCCTTAACACCGAGCGAACTATGGTTGCCTGGGTTTGCCAATGTAAGATCACAGCCTAATATTCGAAAAGAACAGTGCGAGAAGATTCTGTGTGTACTCACTTGAATGACCACCATCAAATTTACTGGTTTCACCGATCCGTCTCGATCCACGAAATGTCCGTGCCACAGTTTTTCATGCTAAAAATGACAGTAGAATCACGCGGTTCAGTCAGAAAAAACTTGGAACAACAAGAAACGGTAATAAAATAGCTTATCGTAATTTTCAAAATTTGATAATTGTCACAACGCTGTTTCCAGCAGAAGACCGCATGTTTGTTCAAATTTTGCCAACATTGGATGAAAGGCTGTAAACTCAGAGAGTGGATAAGAAGATTAACGGAAGTAAGATCTAACGGTCATCCAGAAATAAGTAGAACAGAATACATATATCTAATATAAAGTGTGTTACAGTACATACTGTCTCTACGAAAAAGACAGTCTGATATGCTTAAATCATCCATAGTACGATCGGCGAATTTGCGAAGACAGGCCACCTTGATTAAACTCGCCATTTGCGTCCTTATGATGACCGCGTGAAACTGAAAGCGTTGAATCTATCCCCAGCTATGCCTACGCGTTGTCAGAGGATAAGTCACACTCACGCACGTGACACAAGGTACAGGCACAAAACCGACCATATCTGTTGGTTTGGCTAGTCACCTTGCGAAGGTAAAAGCTTCAGCTTGCTTGGCAATTCTAGGCCAAAAGTAAGTTTCACTGAATTACACGCATACACTGTGTTAGTATGAGCTTGATGCAATGCAGCATGGGCTTGTGGACGATAGAATGAAAAGGGAAAATAATTTCAAGAGCACACGTTCGTGACTGTTCCAGCTGTGATTCTGTAAACATATAACGCAGCTATCAAGATGCCATCCACTGCTACATCGCATTGACACTTGGTGGTGCTGTGCGTCAGAAATTCGTCTGATTTAGGCCACACACAGAAAGCATAAAAAGGACGAAAGAATACCATCAAGGGTGCTTTCACCGTATGTAGAAGCAACATGTCTCCACTTTAGTCACGAATCCAACGGAAGAAGGCGTCAGCAGTGTGGCGGTACACCATGTTGACGCTTCCCCGCCGCACGACCACCGCCGGTCGCGTGTGGGGAAGGTGCATCGCTCGGCCGCCGGCACCAACGCAGATTCGAACCAATGATCGCCGCATTACAAGCAAATCCGTTGAAGTGTTCCAATTAAATCACGATTCTGGGTGCGATCGGGTTCACAATGCAAATAAGGCGAGTAACCGAGCCCAACACCCATAAGTCATGCAATGCATGGAATGCTGCGACCACGAATGAATGTCAAATATAATTGCACTACTGAATAGTAACCAGTAATAAAAATTCTAGTCATAGGTAGAAGACACGTAACTAGGAGAAACAGACCTTGACGTATTCCCGTAACATCTTGAATGTGAGCCATGTCGCGTTCGTAGTCATAGCCAGCGTACTGAGTATGAAAAACAGGAAGTATCCTTAATTGAGGCCACCGATGCAGCAATTGGTCCACAGGCAATGATGTTCGAATCGATAAACACAGTGGTCGCAGCGCGCTGAGAAATGCGAAAGAATGGAAAGGAGGTGATGTGGCGAGATCAGGGTCGCGCTTCCTGTTAAAGGAGACCCACGAATTTGGCATCAGTTATCCAAATCAATGTACCAAATTAATGTATCAAAAAAAGGCTTCCTGACTAAGTCGCGAATAACACCAACGGTAGGAATTTAAACTTTGAGCACAACCACTACAAAATCAGAAACATGTAGACAAGCAAAATGTGAAATATGGCGTCCAAAAAACGTAAGAGTTCATGCAAAACGATTTGCATTTATGACAATTATACCTTTGGAAGTACGAAATCAGAGTGAACATATCAGATGGGAAAGGGGTTGGTGAGGCCAAAGGACAAAAACTGTTGACCAAGACATTATCAGCATAAAAAAGCTGGTATTTTACAGATTCCGGTCCACCCAAAGTCGAAGTAATACATTTCGACCAAGTGCATAGTGTGAACTACCCAGAGTTTGCTGAACCTGAATATCTCACCGTCCGTTAAAGTTTAACCGATCAGATACGCCTAGATCGATTGTTGTTGAAAATGTTGGTGTGAATAGCTGGGGAATGTGTGCGAATCGGGTTTGGTCGACTACATCTTTGCAGAACGTTACAAAAATACAACAATAGCAGCAAAGTTTTGGGAAGTTTCAAGTCACGAATAACTATATCAGCGAGCAAAAGTTAGATTAACCGCAGGATAGACAAATCAACTATATAGCTGCAGTCGGTAAGTTGTCACAAGAGGGGATCCCAACATGTAACCGGTTGAGAACCCAGTACAATGCGTGTGGACAGGAACCTGTGTACTTGGTCACTATGACGAGTCATATCTGAAACGATTTAACGTACCTCATATGAGCATCTGCTACCCAGGGAGCATGGTGGTAGCTCACCATGGAGTGCGTTAGCCACAGAAATCTACAGTGGTTTTCCTTGACTTGAAAGCCGCCTACGAATTTGACGATCGCGCCAGCTTGTGGCACTGCGATCCACGAAGTGAGTGCCTGGAAAGTTCCATTCCATTGTGAAATCTCCCTACCGTGATTCCCGAAGCCAAGGGTTTACAGGAAGCTGTCTACTGAGTTCCTCACGACAAGCGGGGCTCGCTAGGCTTCTCCCATGTCTCCATTCCTCCGCAACTTTGTTACCGAAATTATCATGAGACTCGGTGCTTTCAGATTCTACAGGAGTGGAAGTTCTACCAGGTGACAGACTGATAACTCTTGAGTGTGTAGACGAGATAGCCGTACTTTGGTCTGACGGAGTACTTATGCTAACATTATTGAATAAACTGGTGCGTAGCGCTGCACGCGTCGGTATGTGCTTTTCACCTTCAAAGTGCAAAATACTGCTGCTACAGGAGTGGATCAAGGAGCCACATGCTTTAACTATCAGCGAACAACCACTGGATGTGATGGATCAATTCAAATACATTAGTAGCTGTGTCACCGCTGATGGTCACGTCACTAAGGTAGTTGCTACGCGTTTAAGCAAACCCCGTGTGGCATCGCACAGGAGACGGTGGGTAATTACCTGTCAGTGGAAAGTAGGGTGTATAACGCTGTGATAAGACTGGTGTTACTGGGTGGATCAGAGACCAGCGTGACTCGCAGTGAAGGCATTAAACGGTTGGCTGTGTCTTATCACCGATGCTTACGGAGTATTGTGCACATCTGGTGGGAACACCAAGAGAGCAATGCTGACGTCCGCCAGTTGGTTTCAGGGAAAAGTCTTCTGGTGCCTCTCTCAAGTGTGTTATTAAGCTTAACCGATTACGTTGGCAAGAACATGTTCCCGTATGCCCATTAGCCGGTTTCCTCAGCGTGTGTTACACAACGTGGCCATACCAAGTTGGGTGAAACCACGAGGTGGCCACTCCATGAAGTGGCATAGAGGCATGAAGAAATTAACTGAAACTTCTTCAGGCTGAAGCGTGTCGTCTTCGTGGATGGAGGCCTCAGGATGGTCCATGCCAATGGTTAGAGACCGTAACAAATACGGTGCGGTCACACAGTCATTAGCGCTACGGCACACGGTTTCTTGAACTTAGATGCAAATCTTTGTTCCCCCCCTCTACTAGTATAACGCACGTATTGCTTTGTTGTGTCGCCACTGACGCCTTCGCCCTACGACCGCAAGAAGAAGTCCAAAGACGAGCCAGAATGATACCTGTATACATGAAATCATATAGTTTTGAAGGCAAAATGAAGGGAGGCTACTAAATTACACTTGAGCCAACCAACAGAAGAAAACCGTCAAATGCAACCCGGCGAATAAGTAGCCGTGTCCTCCAGAGCGAATCGCATATGTCCTTAAAAATAGCATCATGGGACTCCAAGCATAAAGCGAACATCCATTTACAGAGACGGGCACTGGCCAAACGAAATAACAAAATGTAGCGTTTCAATAAATGTCACAAAACAAACGAGAATAAGAAGTGAAGACCAAACAATTAAAAACTGGTACAATACTTGTGTGACAATTAAATATTCCCTTAACATAACCAAGTAGGGAAGTGATGCGGAAAAACAAATGGAATGTGTTCTTGTAATTGGAACTGCTGAAGAGGTCACGGAGACGAGCGCCTATTAACAAGGACGTGTGTGTACCAATCGGGCTAACACAGTGGAGCGTTTAAACAACAGTCAAGAAGTAGAAAATAGGAATAATAAAGAATGGTTATTTAACTCGTTCACAAAAAATGAATGTCTAATAGCCAATCTCCTAATACTTTGTCCCATATTCTTTACATTCTATTTGCATCCAACCTCATCTACTTACCGTCGTTAGCTATTGTTATTCTTGCAACGTGAGTTATGGCAACCGGATCATAGTTGTTCCACTCAACTGAACTGAAGGATTACCAATTGCGATAGATTAGCCAGCTTATCTAAGATTGGAATAGCTAGCAAGGGTGTCATAGTCATACATTGTGATGACAGACTGAATGGAGTAGCTGAGTTGTAACAGACCTAGTAATACATAACTGGAAGCGCATCCGAGGCACCTAAAGCGAAAGGGTGAGATAGATGAGCGAGAGCTGATAGTCGAAGTTGCATACACCAGAGAAGTGATTTGACGATCGAGTGCAAGAAAATAAATGGGTGCGTCGAAATTTGACGATACAATGAATTGTCAACATTCCCAGTAAAGACAAATGAGTAGTTGCCACCGTTAGCTGTGGCGCAGAATAGACGGTAAACTAAGCAATAACAATGGATGTCATTGCGGAAAGAAAGACGTCACAAGACGTTCACTTGACAAGCATGTTGGAACAGTAAGAGCACAAGGGCGCCTTTGTATAGACAGAAAATGTAGACAGCCGAAAAACAAACAACATGGGAAAAGTCATGAGCAGATCAAACGAAGATGAAACACAGTTATCAAGGCAATGTGCTTCTGTTGTCAAATTGTGGCGAGCCGAAAGCAGGGAGTTCCTGTGCCAAGTACCAGTAGCATAAAGATAGCAAGAAAGCCAGTTGGAAACGGGCCAACACTAGACCACAGCCACGCCCCCAACAGAAGAAGAACGCTTGGGAGCTGCAGATATATGTGCATTAAGAATAGATATAGACGCAGCGCAGGCCAAGCAGTGTCCAGGATTAAGTACAAAAAATGAGTGGTACGTTTGGCAATCAAATCTGAGACATATGGCTGATGATATTTTCCACGAGAAACAACTCCATTCGCACCTTTGATTCTTGTAGTTTGTTGCACGACGCAAGGATAGAAAGAAAAGTACAGACAGAACTGACCGATGATGGCTAACACCCATATTATGCAAGCAGAGATATTTCGTGACCAGGAACAGCTATCCAGGTAAAGTCAAGGTGCAATAAATCGATTCCTCGATAGCGGAAAATAGTGGTCTTCACTCTTCTCTCTTGGCTATCTTCGTTCGGGGATCCGCCGGTAATGCGAATGAACGAAACGTCTGGTACCTTTTCATACGCACCTCCAAATGTTGCAGTGCATACCGTTCGCCTTGTAAACCAAAGCGATTGTCTTTGTCCAAGTCTAGCCTTTGGCTGTTTGGCGCACAGCTCCAAACGAGTAACGATGCGATAGCATGCGGGCCTTAATGATCAACTGAGTTGTGCTGGGTGGTGCATTTTACAACTTCGGAATCCTACACATCAAATTGATCAATGTTTAAGGACCATACAGACTCATGTTAGGTTGGACACACTTATTGACATGACGAATAACCGACCTCAATGGCGTCTGCGATGGGAATTACATCATGTTGCCCTATCCTGCTTAACCTCCCCTCCAACCACGATTTCCTCATCAATGCATAAGATCATCATCATCAACCGCAGTACATCAGCCATTTGAACTGATGCTTCGTTGCCATACAACCATGAGGACCTATGAAATAAAGAATAAGAAGAGGGAGAGAAGCGGGACTTACCGAAAGACCTTAATGCCCTAAACAAACATTCAGGGTCAAGGCGCCTACACCTTGTGTAGACAACATACCGCCACAAACAGCTGGCTATCGTGCAAAGATAAGTCCGCATTCACGAGACAGCTTCCTTGCGGCTTTCACTGCCCCGCGTCATAAAAATCTATTACCTCGCAGATAACTCAACACCAAACACACTTTAAACAGACAACGATTAGACGACAGCAGACGCGCCACTGTTGTCGGTTGTGAGCCACGTCCCGTAAGGTCTCGAGCCAAGCACAAGGCGAGTCACGTGGACTCCAGCCCGGAAGACGAAACGGACCAACGGCACCCAGTTTGGTCGTCAGTGATTTCATTTCCCGCTGACAAGTCAACTTCTGTCCACCTTGAGCTTTGCGCCACCCTACACCTGGCAGACTAAACAATGCCCTCATAGCTAAGCGGTGACCAGGCATACGTAGCACGTGCCCCAGCCAACGCAACTTATTCACTGCTATCTGTTGCTCTAGGGAGCACACATATTTATCACTAGCTAGTACTCGCCTACGCACATCATCGTTTCGGGCACGCTGGCGCCATCTGACTCCAGCAATGCTTCGCAGACAACGATGACCAAAGACTTGTAGGTGTCAGAGCTTCAGACCGAAGGGGCCAATTCTCACTACCATAGAACAGAACGACCCTCACTGTGGCCTTGTATACATAGCCTTCCAGACGGAGGGAAATTCCCTTCTGTCGACAAAGATGCCGCAGGTTCAAGAAGGCAGCTCTGGAATATGCAATGCGTGAGCTGATGTCAGTTTCTGTGCCCATTATTGCTGATGCAGCTGCCAAGATAAGTGAAATGAGCTACCACCTCGAGTTCCTCGTTAGCAAGTGTCAAGGGGTCATCAAGTGGCTGGTGGTCCTGCAGCAACACTTTGCACTTTGAAGGTGCGTAGGGCATACCAAATAATGGGACCACTCTAGACAGGCTATTCAGGGTTGATTGTGCCGCTGCAACATCGTCGAAAAGCAAGACCATATCGTCCGCATAATCTAGGTCAACTAACCTTTCACCAGGCAACACTTCAACGCCTACATCGTGAGATTCCGCAAAGGAACACTCCATGATAGAATTCATGACGAAATTGAAAAAAATGAGGTAAACTATTATAATATGTTAGTTAGATTTTGTCGTTTTGTCTGTTCTTTGTTTTTACTGTCACGTGATTGAATTGTATTGCGGCATAATAACTGGGGTACTTTTCACCCTTAGCTAATATAGAGACGGAATTATGATGAACGGCTTCTTTGCATTTGCACCTCGCTTACATCACTTTGCAGCTGATGATGATGGCGAGGCAGATGCCCCTGAAGCCTATCAAGTAAAAGTGTTTGTGGCATTATAACTTCATGTCAGATTCATTACCTGATACACATCAGAAGTTCACAGAGGGATGAAACCCATCCATAACTGAAGTTGAGACTCAAAGCATCCTCGAGTAATATCTGAAGTATCGCCAAACACATGCATTGTCAAGTTTCCAAGAGAGTACGGAGAGCAGAACAGATTTGCGGATAAAGTGATGGTACTGAAAGCATGGTTCATAACCGTTAGTGCCTGCGTCTCAACGCCTAATGTCTACCAGTGCACTGCTTACACCAACGCTATGTGGAAGGGAAACCAGTGTGACTGCATGCGTAAGGCACGGTGCAGCCGATAAATCCTTGTAAAACGGTGGATCCAAGGGTACCAAGGTGTTTGGAATATCTTTGGACTTACAGAGTTCGTCCATAAAACAGATGATGATGAGAACTATAGTCAGTGCTCGTGTCACTTTTGACGCGATGGATTGGTTGTTGTAATCAAGTACAAGATCCGTTGAGACCATGGCAAACCCGAAGATACAATAGACGAAGAGTGCGGATCAAGCTCCATGAATAGTAGATATTTAGACAGCCTTTGTGTTTCGGAAAGTCTGGTTGTGAATTTATTCTCATCCTCCTCAGTGACAGTAAAGTGGTCTGAAGCGTCACGCTACTCAAAAGTCTCAGATGGGTTTCAACATGACACTGGCGAATATGTGAAAGCCGACGGTGTAAGTGTGAAAAGGTAGTCGCAGCCAAATTGTGTAGTGTGGCAATTAAGACCTCGTCCAAGCTACTAACAGTTCGAATTTACTCGGGGGATATCGAACTTGAAGAAAGGACAGACCGTAACCATGGGTAATCAACAGTATAAAAACAAATGCGAAGCTACCTGAAAAAGGTAAGTTCGCGGTATTCCAGTTGGTAAGACATGAAGTCATAGGTTAAAAAGAGCCAATAATTCTGAACCAGTTGCTAAAACATAGAAATAGTTTGTGTAAGTAAGAGTTCCAGTTTTCAATGTTCAATAACTAGGTGCACTAGGTAAAGTATCGTGTCTGCAGTCAGTAGCACGATCGCCCACATATTGCATTGCTTTGCTGTCGACGACGAAATGCACTACAAATCACTTAGCCCAAATGAAGTGATTTGGAGGCAAACGTCAAAATTTACTGTTCAAACCCACGGGATGCGCACTGCAAAATTCAGGGGATGGTCAACAGTAAGGTTGAGAAACTAAGTGGGCAAAAAGTGCGTACACCTAGAAAAACCAACAACGAAAATGCCATCTTATGGACAAATTAAAGACCAATTGATACCAGCTCCTATCAGGCTTTGATGTTTAGCAGTGCAGATTTGAGAAAAAGTCTCAAGAAAGTAGGTAAGATTCTGTGGTGGACTGCAGTATAGGACTTGACTGCAGGCAGCTGAACAATAGAAATAATAGCAACGTGTGCTTTGTGTACGATATGGAGAGAATATTGGATCCGTCAGTCACCTGCTGCTTATAGTCCTCATCGCTTTCCAGTTCACTGTGGATGACACGAAGGTATTTGTGGGACAGGCGCTTTCACGAAGCACAGAACTGTCATTCACTATTTCGCCGACGGATGCCCAAGCGGAACCGAAACTCACTGAGGCGGTGCGCATAGTATTGCGAACAATGGCCATACACCGGACTGACAATAGTGATAACAACGAGGAGGTGAACGTCGTTCAGGTGGATGGCCTCGCTCGGATGAGCAGAGAGAAATATTTGCTGACGTCGGGTAAAACAATCTCAAATGAATACTATGGGAAAGTTGGCAATGCATCAATATTCATGGACCAATTCCCTAGAACAGGCAAAAGTGTTAGAGTGCTAAGAATATAAAATACGCAACGAGCAAATGCTCTAAGTAACAGTAATGTTAGCAGAAAGTCACAATAATGAAAGTAGATTCACCATCCTCAAAAAAATGAGAAATGAAAATACAAAGCTTTAAGATGTACGGTACCAGTACTCGGTTTTCGCTTCTCTCCTTCTCTCCTTGTCATTCTCGAGTCGCTCAGAAATTAGTTTCAGACTATCAAGCAAGAGGCAGTTTGAATCAGATGGCTTCCGTGTAGTAAACCGAAATTCCGCGAAAAAATGACATATGCTCCTCACCTAAGTAACTGTTAAATGAATTCTTAAGGCAATAATATTCAAAAATTATAAGCTGATACGTTTGCTAAAATTAAAAGCTACTTAGATACCCTGCCTCCTAATTAGTTTTAATCTAATGCATGACCCAAAGGAGCAACTATATGCCCAATGGAATGCGCTCTCGCCCGATTCTTGAAACCCATGAACTAGTGAAAGACGGTTCCGAGGAGCGTTCCCATACATTAGGTTAGACAACGTCGTTACGCACTGGTTAACCAACATTGTTTTTATTCGTTACTAACATTCAGTATTGTAGCTACTGTGGGGTACAACGGATAAGAAACAAACAGGAAGATACTGAAGAGGTTTTTCAAGCAAAGTAGGTACGTAGGAGAGATCCCTGCAACTGTTAAGCTAAATGTATGCGAAAGCCTCTGCTCTTCAACAAAGCCGTCATAAACCATTCTATGGAACTACATCGCCAAGTCATTAAGGTGAACATTGGGTACCAAGTCACGAGTTGCGGCACATCTCTGCCCACAAAATTCGAAGTAATGGACACACGTTACGGATTCTACAAGAGTTGGACTATACTGACGACAGGAATACGAAGAGTGTCCAAGAACTGTCGCAAGGAAATACAATATGATGAGGAAACCGATAAACAAGAAAACAAGGTTGTTTTGCCCATCACCGAATATGACTGAACTCACTGACAACATATTTTCGCACGGAGACCATCGGATAGTATGGACATAAATAGTATCAGGAATTCGAGGAATTGAAATCCACGAAATAAGCGAGGAACCTATTGAGCTTTCAGTACTCGCTAGTTTTTACCATTCAACAGGTGTGATTAAATTGCAACCTCAGTGGACTTAGTCAACAGAAACACAATATTCATTCACACATTGTGGTTCAGTGTAAAAGAAGTTCGGTGTAGTCTTCAGGAAAATTGCACGTACCACAATGTCTTGCCCGCGCTGGTATCAGGTGAGCACAACTGCCGCACTCCATCGGAGAGTAGACCACATTGTCATAAGAGTAAACCTTCGAGAAAAGTGGTATATTTCGGGGAGTGATGACACCTGAGCAAAATGTGAAGAAGCGAATGTAGGTAGTTTGGTGAAATAGTGAACCATATGCTCCTGTGTGATATGTGAGCGACAGAGTGGAAGGGCTCATGGCAGGGTACTCTAAAATTGGTGTGGGGCCGCGACTAAACAAAGGCAAAGACAAGGAGGAGCGAGATGATGACTAGGAGTATGAGTAACTATTCAGTGATTTAGGTTCACATACATTGATATCAGTTAGTAAATGACGAGACCCAATGACTAGGTAGAAACAAATGATCGATGAGATGTCTTTGAACATCAATTGAGTGCAATCGATCGGATATCCACAGCAGCTTAACACAAAGGGTGCGTCAAGATGAATTCCTAGGGGCTAAATACCGGATTCGCATCGGGGTATAACTTCCCTTAAGTGATAGAACGACCTCAAGGGGTCAAAGGGCGTGTCTAGAGATCAGATGTAAATGACCCATGATTTGGAACAATGGAACAATGGTTTATGCCGGGTATAAAAGCAATGCTTGACAGGTCCCGTAGGATGATGAGAATTAACATCGTAAAATTAAAAAATCGTATCGATGAAAGTACGTGTGAAATGCATGACTCACCAAGGGATTGGAGATACGCATAAACAAGTAATCCAACAGGAATTTTAAGTGGATTCCGTCCACGTTCGTTGTTCACTAATACCATCATCCGATGGTCGCACGTTATATCACATAGTGCAATCGTGTGAGAGTTTCGTCAAGGCGTTTTTTGAAAAGGGATAGGGTGGGAGCGTTAATTACATGTTCTGGAAGGGCGTTCCAAGGTTGTGACACTCGGAGGGAGAAGAAATTGCGTCGACATTCCAGTCGACTGTACTGTGTGATCAACTTAAACTGATGACCTCTTAGGGATTCGTTTTGACTACGTTTCAAAAGGGAATGACACGTGTGGTTGGGGGTTCTCAGTATCCGGTACACCAATATGAGATCGCCTCTCAAACGACGGTAACGTCCACTGTATAAGTTAAGAGTTTTCAGCCTGAGTGGGTAGTGAAGGCTGGAAAGACCTTTGACGTATTTTGTCGCTCTGCGTTGTGCAGTATCGAGTGCAGTGAGGTGGCACTTCTGCCATGGTTGCCACGCTTGAATAGCGTATTCTGTGTGCGGTCTAACAAAAGCGCTAAGCATTTTCGGAAAGATTGAGGCGTCAAACTTCCCAAACGCTCTACGCAGAAGGCCAAAGTGTTGGTTTGCTCACTTGGAGGCCTTTACGGTCTGCATTAAGCACCCAAGATCTTCTTGTATAAGCACGCCAAGATCGCACTCATGAGAGGTGCGCTGTAGAATGTCAGGTCCTAAGCGGTAGTTATACGCACTCTGATGGCGTATGCTCAAGATTTTGCACTTTGTGGTGTTGAACTGTAGCGTGTTCTCGTTTGACCACTTGTATGCTTTGTCCAAATCATCTTGCAAGGCTGTGTGATCCTCTCCTGAAGCTATGGCAGCCATATCTTTAGGTCATCTGCAAACAGCAGAAAGTTGGAAGATAGTGCAGCTGCAAGATCATTTATGAAAACAATGAACAAGCGAGGCCCGAGTACCGAGCCCTGAGGTACGCCACACTGAACTTCGATTGGTTCCGACAGGGTATTTCGGACTCTCACATTCAGGTGACGTTGAACGAGAAATTCGCCTATCCATCCTAGAATAGGATTGCCGATACCACAATGCTGCAGCTTGTTCAGTAAAATCCGATGGTCCAGTCGGTCGAATGCCTTAGAGAAGTCCAAGTAGGCTACATCCACTCCGACTTCGGCGTCCACAGACTCTGTCCAGTTTGAACGAGCAATCAGCAAATTAGTTTTGCAGGATCAGCCTTGGCGAAATCCGTGCTGCTCCGGAACGAGGATATTGTTTTTCTCCAGGTACTCCATGAGGGCCTCGGCTACAATGGACTCCATGATCTTGGAGATTACCGGAAGAAGGGTAATCGGACGATAATTAGTTGGATCTGCACGGCTACCATTTTTGTGGATTGGAGTGATGATCCCGTGCTTCCACATCGTTGGGACGTGCATCTCGTTAAGGTATCGCTGAAAGAGTGTCGCCAAAGGTTCAGCTAAGCTCGTGGCGGAAAGTTTCAGCGCTTTCGGCCGAATGCCGTCCGCACCCGGGGAGCTAAATTCGCACGTTGAATCAGACAACTCAAATATCCAAGACAATTACCACAGAAACAGGCGAGATACAAAATTTGTATGCACAACCGAATAAGGCAGCAAAGCTCTACACAGCCCTTGGGATTGAAAGGTAGCGTGGGTTAGCTGGGATGCTGGTGGGTGCACGCTCCCGACACCACACTCTGCCAGTAGATTCAACCTCGTTTGGACTCTTCAGGGAAGACATGAATGCAGCTTGGAACTGAACCAAGAAGCACGTGGCTCGGTTAAAACATTCGGCACTAGCTCACAGAAGGTAACGAATGTCACAATGAAGTTGCTCGGTTTACGCAGCGGGCTGATGCGTAGTTGTATTTGTGTCGATAAAGTTTCACTAGTAGCCGTTGTGTAGAGGATAATTTTAGCAGAATACTAGTGGTCAAGCAGGTTCGTATAGATCAACGTGAAGCCCATACTCCTAAAGAATCCAGGTAAGAGTAAACGTCCATCAGACCGCATACAAACATACACTACACACTTTGTAAGTCGAAAAGAACAAAAAAATGAACCACAAGTCATTCAAAGTGCTACACATAAAGATCCACTGGATGCAAAAGTAAAATAGACAGCACAAGTCCAAGAGGGAAAATCGAAACGGCTGGATTCATTCAGTATGCCTGTTATAATTGAGAGAAGGCCTCTGTTATGATGGCGTAGATTCCTGATAAGATTGTCACTGGTACGGTTGGAGCACGCCTACGGTAACGGCCTGGAACGCTGACCAATCGAACGGAGTTGCGCTGACATGATGGTGTTAGCTTAGCCCGGGGTACCCGCTGGTGAGACAGAAATTGAACGAGCGTGAGAACGATCCTAGCCGCATGCATTCGGGTAGACGCTGAGCCGTCGCAACGGAAGCACACGAGAGGGGGTTACGATAGACGCGCGCTAGTGACTTAGGCGTGAATGCTACCCGACTAACGACGCACACAAAATCGCGTGACCGACCGACTCCCAACTGAGGCGAAGAGGAAAAAAAGCAAGTGGTCCTCTAAAGGCTCTTTTAAGACCAACAAAGGGCAAAGCACATCCAATGCTAGGTGTCATCAAGTTAGGGAAAATTGCTACCACGACGGGATGGTAGTGTGTAAAAGAACATTGTCAGCAGATGCGCAGTTGTGCCGCGTCTCCGAGTGTCTGAAGTTTGCTACGTTGTGGGGAGGAATTGGACCTCGTTTTCCGCAGCCATTCTGCCGGGGTTTCTGGCGCGTTTTTGGGGGAATATTTGACGGGCCCGTAACACATCCCTTTGAAGAGAAAGCTTACAGTTTCTGAAGAGGATTGAACTGGAGGGATTTCGGCGACCTCCGGATTCTTCCTGTTCGTCGGCAAGACGGGTTCTCAAGACGCGGCGGCGATTGAGCGTCTTCGACCGTGCTCTCTCATTGTGTGGCCAACCCAAAGGTATCCAGCGGGATGTGCAGTGGCAGGCGCATGGGAAGGCCGGCTGCCGTGGACGTTTCTCCGGTCGAAGTCGATTGTGATGGCGAACTCACGTGTCATCACCCACGGAGACATCATAAAGCATGTCGCCTCGCCTGGCTTGCACTGTTGCTTTGATCCATCGTGGATGACTTGCTCTGTAATTACGAGCGTAGACCGGAGCTTCAACGACGAATTCTTTGTGTTTGCTACAGGCACCTTAGTGACTAGGTGGCTTCTCATTCGGGATGAGCGCTTCGTTGGTTGTGCGTAGCTTGCGGCCCATCAATGCTTCAGCTGGTGACTGGCCTCCTGGCGTAGCTGGATTCGGTGTGGACCGGTACGAGAGCAAGAAGGCTTGAAGACACTCATCCATGGTCCCCTCCCCGAGAGAATTTAAAAGCGCCCTCTTTAAGGTGCCGAAAGATCGCTCCACTTGACCATTGGACTGGGGATGGTAAGGCGGTGAACGGAGGTGTTCGATGCAGTGTCGGCGACAAAACTCTTCGAAGATGGAAGAGGTAAACTGGGTACCATTGTCGGACACCAAAACCTCGGGAAGGCCATGTTGACTGAAGCTACGTTGGAGACAACCCAGAGTGGCGGATGCGGTTGGTGGGTTGACTGCAACCACTTCTGGCCATTTGGAATAGGCGTCGACCACGACCAGATAGGAAATACCATCGATGGGACCAGCGTAGTCAATGTGCACTCGGGACCACGGTTTTGTTGACGGATGCCAATGAAACCGGTGATGTGTGGTGGCATCTTGGATGCTTGTTGACACCTTGAGCAGCGGAGGACCAAATCTTGAATATCGTTGTCAATGCCAGACCAGTACACATAAATGCGGACAATTGCATTCATTCTGTTCATACCGGGGTGAGCAGAATGCAGCTGGCGGAGTACAGCTTGCCGGAGGCATGAAGGAACGACAACGCGATCTGCAGTCATGAGGCAGGAATCGACAACGGAAAAGGAGTCGCGGCGTTGATGTAGTTGTTTGAGTTCACCGGACACGGCAGTGTTTGCCCCGCACGTCTGAAGGTAAATGACGGCTTTCTGCAAGACAGGGACTTGAGCATTTGCACGACATATGTCGGCGGCAGTAATGGGGAGACTTCGGATAACGTTCGAGAGTCGATAACGAACGTCCTCCTCGACGGTAACAGCGGCAATCACTGTCTTCTACTGCGGCATGTTTTGAAATGTGGCGGGAGAGACCGTCGGCTTGACAATATTCTGAGTACGGCAGTAGCGGATTTCGAAGTCGTAACAAAGACGAATGACCGCCCAACGCTGAAGTCGGCTAGCCAAGTATGCGGGCATGCACTTCTTCGAACCGAAGATTGAAAGTAGGGGCTTGTGATAGATCAGTAGCGTGAAGCGC